GTTGGGTGAGGTTTGCAAGTGATGATGGGATTTGTCCGCTAAGATTGTTAGAAAAGAGGTCTAGGCTAGTAAGTTGCCTTGAGTTACATATGGAATCTGGAATGGGACCAAAAAACTGATTATTGGAAAGGTCAAGAGAGGTAAGTTGGGTGAGGTTTGCAAGTGATGATGGGATTTGTCCGCTAAGATTGTTAGAATAGAGATATAGGTGAGTAAGTTGCCTTAAGTTACCTATGGATGCTGGAATGAAACCTTCCAAGTTGCACTGAAGATTCAGATACTGTGATGACTTTAGATCTCCTATAGACTCTGGCAATCGCCTTCCGCAATCCATGACAGATAAATACAAATCTTGGAGAGGACTGCTCCAATTGGAACTTGGAAGATAAATAGTGAGGTTTCGCTCTCCAAAAGATCCACTTAAATAAAAATTCTTGAGATTTGGAAAGCGGAAAATACTGTTTGGAAAGTTTCCTCTTAACTGACAATTTAAAAGACGAAGAGTAGTCAAAGAAGAAGAGAGATTCATGAAGAAACGAGGATTAACAGATGTCATGTTCACTCCATTAAGCACAAGTTCTCTCACCTCACCAAGTTATGAGCAAGATTTTTGAAGGTAGTTGTTTCAAGGATCAAGTCATTAGAGAGATTGAGAGAAACTAACTTGGGTAGGTGAGCAATTTCTGCTGGAACTTGGCCCGAAAACTGAGAATAAGAGATATCAAGATGCTTTAGTCTAGTAAACAGACTGATTTCTGGTGGAATCTTGGAAAGCCTAAAATCATTCAAGGCAAGATTGAGGCTCTGCAGGTTTCTGAGGAAGAAAAGAGTGCTGTTGGAAGGAAAGGTGCCATAAAGGAAACTGCAGCTGAGATTAAGGGCAATTACATGGCCTGTGACATTATCACAGCTAACCCCATCCCAGGAACAACAGTCTATACCTTCCTTCCATGACTCAATCTTAGAATAATTAGGTTTAGTATAAAAAAGATACACACAATAATCTGAATTCGGAACAGTGTAATTGATGGAGAAGGATGTCTTGAATTGCAGCAAAGCAAGAGCCTCCTCATGAGAGCAGAGATGTGTTGTTGAGAAGGAAGAAGCATGTATAGAGGATGAGAAGGTAGTTTTAAGACAGAGGAAGACAAAAAGCAGGCAAAGTGGTGCAGAGAGCTATGTGAAGATCCTCATATCTTTGTTTGGCGCAATAGAGTAATCAAGAAGAGTATATATCAAGGTTTTAAGAACCGGACCGGTCATTGAACCGTTTTTGGGTTCGGTTTCCGGTTTGACCGGTTCAATTGGTTCAATCAGTGAACCAATTGGTTCAAATAACAAGGGAAATTTGATGAGGGGATAGGTAATTTTGTAATTTCATTAAAATTAAGGGTTAAAATCGGTATAAGAAGGGAATGATGAGGGTGAAATTGGAAAAATTAAAAAGAAAATTGCATGAGAAATTGAACCAGTGGTTTTTTCGGTTTTATTGGTTTCACTGGTTTTATTGGTTTTGACCGATTTTGACCGATTTTGACCGGTTTTAAACGGTTTTTGACTGATTTTGACCAGTTTTGACCTCAAACGGTTTTTTTATGTGAACCAAGCCGTTTTCACTATTGGTACCGGTCCGACCGGTTCAACCGGCCGGTCCGGTCCGGTTTTAAAAACCTTGGTATATATAGAGTGTTTAAAATTGGCTAAAACCAACATTTAGCCCCTCATCTTACAAAATTGATAGGTTTTAGCCCTTAATCTTATAATATGACACTTTTAACCTTTTACCTTACAAAATTGGTAGGTTTTAACCCCTCACCTTACAAAGTTGGTAGGTTTTAGCTTCTCACCTTATATTATGACCTTTTTAACTCCATATCTGTACGAATTGAAGAAAATAGCCCTTATTTAACATCAAACTTTAATGTTCTGTCAGTTCTGTTAATTGACTGTCAATTCTGTTAGCTGACTGTTAGTTTTGTTAGTTGATTGTTAGTTTCTGTTAGTTGACTGTTAACATCCGTTAGCATTCCGTTAATGAAACTAACAAATAAAATTGAATTTAAATTTCATATTTTTTTATAATGACATGCTAACAGATATTAATAGTCAACTAATAGAACGTTATAACCTGATGTTAGGTGAGGGTTATTTTTTTTAATTCGTATCGGTAATGAGTTAAAAATATCATAATATAAGGTAAATAGTTAAAATCTACCAATTTTGTAAGGTGAGGGGTTAAAACTTATCAATTTTGTAAGATAAAAGGCTAAAACTATCATATTATAAAGTGAGGAGCTAAAGCCTACTAATTTTGTAAGATGAGGGGCTAATGTTGGTTTTTACCGTTTAAAATTGAGGTATGCTAATAATTGAATATATTCCATTAAAACAAAAATTAATAAATATAGAAAATAATATTGACGCAGCATGGATGCTATTTTTTAATCTATTTTTTTATTTCTTTTTTATTTATTATTTTAAAAGTAGATGGAGTAATTGAGGATTATAATCACATTATTAATAAGCCTTCAAATAATAATTTAAATTTCAATAAAAATTGTTACCTTCGTTATTTTGTGATATAGAAAAGGTATTTTTCTCACTTAAAAATTAGAATTAATAATTTAAAAAAATTATTTATTTACATTTCTTAATATATAGACATATATATAACAGATATTAGTAGAAGAATATTTTTTTTATCAGCATTAGTAGACGAATATTAATATTAAAAAATTATTTAATATAATTTACAATAGTAGATTGTAGAATCCTTTTGCATATCAATCAACCAAAGTTTTTGGTTCTCCACAATCTATCCCAGGGGACTTGACGAAATTAGTGGCTCTCCATAGAAGCCAGGGGGCGAAAGTCTCGCAACAAAATCGTTTTGCTATAATTGAGGAGTTGATGGATGAGGAAGCCGAATTGATCAGAGCAAATTCCCAAAGACAATTTTAAGACACAGGAAGAAAAACAGAAGGCAGAGTGGTGTCAAGAGCATTGTGAAACCAAACGAAGGCGATCGCCAACTTCGACTGAATCAAACAACTAGCCGGTCAAAGAGAAATAAAGAGAAAGAAAGAAAGGAAGAAGATTGATCAAGGGGCTGAGGGTGATAGATTTATTTTGTTTATTTTTATTTTTTTTTAAATATAAATATTTATATGATGTGATATTTTTATTTATTTATATAATATAATTATAAAATATATATTACCACATCTTCAAAAGATTTAAAAGCAAAAGCCACATCTTCCACTCTTGCACTACGTATTGATATATACATACACCATATTTGTTGCATGTCAATTTTCACATACACTTGACAAATGTGGTCAAGAAAATTTAACTAAGGAAACTTGCAAGCAGTTGCAAGGAAGTGATGGACGGAAAGGAAGTGATATATACACACACCATATTTGTTGCATGTCAATTTTCACAAGCATTTGACAAATGTGGTCAAGAAAATATAACTAAGGAAACTTGCAAGCAGTTGCAAGGAAGTGATGGACAGAAAGGATTGAAAAACTCCAATTATTTTTTACTTCTTTATAAAAGGTTCAACATCGATTTACATACATCATATTTATTGGATGTCAATTTCCACATGTATTGCAAATTTGGTCAAAAAAATGTAACTAAGGAAACTTGTAAGCAGTTGCAGGGAAGTGATGGACGGAGAGGATTGAAAAACTATAGTTATTTTTGACTTCTTTATAAAAGTTACAACATCAATTTTGCTACTTTTTAGAACAAATAATTTTCCACCAAATGTATTTCTCTTTTTCCAAACTTTGGTTTCCACCACTTGCCCACTCAAAAATATATGGTAAGTTGACTTTCTTTATTCTTTATCTTCAATTTCTATTGAAGTTTAGAAGAAAGTTTATTAAAATAGAATAGTATCTATCCATTTTATCTGTATTATCTTTTAAAGATTAAAAAAAAATATCCCAAAACTATGTTGTTTTAATAAATTCTTATTAAAAAAGACTAAAATACTTTATTTTTAAAGCATGAATTAAAGTGTTTTTTTATCTTTTCTTATAATATTTTATTAAAATTACGTAATTTTGAAATAATTTTCTTTTTAATTTTTAAGAGATAAAGCAGATAAACACTAATTTTTTTCTACTCCTTGTTCATGCCTTTCACGCTCAGATTAAGAGGTATAATAACAATATTAAAATTAAATTTTCACTCTATAATGTTTCTTCTAGGTTTCTGCTCTTGTTCTTCTCTCTTGTTTGTGAATTGGTATTCTTTCCATGGAAAAAGTTAACATATGAATTGAAGAAAATAATGAAAGAGAAACTAAGTTAATGTTTATTGTTCTCTTCTTTCATTTCATAAACTCAGTTGAGATTAGAAAAGGTGTTTGATAAAATTTAAAATGTCTTTATATTAAGAGTATTATTTTTTTATAAATTTAAAATCTTGTTAAAAGAAAACAATTAAAATTAAATTTGTAAGTGTGTTTTAAGCAAAATTTTTAAAAAATATAAGTCTAAAATTTTAATTTTTCAAAATTTAATTAATATTTACTTTAGAAAATAATTTTTAAATTTTTCTCTAACAAAAATTTAAAATCATGAATAGTACTCTCAAACAAATATTTTTTAACATTTACTAAACACATTTAGTATATTTGAAAAGAGCCTTTTAAGGAAAAAAAATTTAAATACTTGCACTAACAGGAGTAGTTGATTGAGCAGAGAGCAAACTTTTATTCACTGTGGTTTTCATATAATATTAAAATAGATAAATGAATCATCATTAACAATAGAATATGCGAAACAACATAATCTTTTGTTTAGTTAGGAATTGATTCTACGAGAGCAATTATAAAGAAACATCTTAATTAATTAATGGAACTAATTGTCATTGACTAACATTAAAAAAGAGCTTTTAGACATTATAAAGAATAACGAGTAAAGGTAAAGTAAAAATCAAGTCTTTTCTGAACCACATCAATATTAGTTGGAAAGCAATTCAAATTAACTATTTATGATTATCAAGACTTTAACCAATCAAAGATAGACATGTATATGTGTTTGGTCCCACTTTCAAATCTTTACAAATAGACCAAAATGGCTCACCTTTTAGTATATAAATACAATATTTGACTAGACGAGATTTAATTGGTTAATTTTTTTTTTTTTTTGGCTACTTTTAGATTTCTTTGAAACCCTTATATAAAGTGTGCAAACTAAACTAAAGCAAGGCCAAGGAACATTATCAAAACAAAAGAAATCAAAATGACAAAATAAAAGACCAGATTGAGTTGGAACTAATATCCAAGTCATCGTTAACACTTTGGTGTTCAAGTTGTAAAACAGCTTCTTACCTTCTTTTTTTTCCTTGGTGTTCAAGTCTTCGTCAAGTCTTCATCAAGTCTTCGTCAATGCCTTGATGTCTCTGTCAATGCTTTATACGTGTTTAATTTTTCAATGTCACTTAAAACTTTGCTAAAAAGGAACAGATGAGATGTAGGGTATATTATTATATTACCCTCAAGAAAAATTTGATGATGAAATTGTAACATCCCAAAATTTTGGGATATTTTAGCATTAAGTAAAGACTTTTGTGAGAGGAAATATTATTTTGGGGCCTAATAGCTAAAAAAAAAACTCCAAAATTGAGGGACTTAAAAGAAAGGAAATTAGGATAAGGATCAGCTGCTTTTTCTTTTTTTTCCTTTTTCTTTCTTTCTTTTCTTCCTCATCAGACCCGCGACCTGCTCTTCTTCTTCTGCTCCCCGACCAGCCCCCCCTAAGCCACCGACTTCCTCTTCTTTTGAGAACCGATGAAAGGCTTGAAATTACCCTTTCCTTCTTGCTCAAAAACCAAGTTTCAGGCCTAGAACACTCTTCTAAACCCAGAAATTTTCCAGATCTGCGCTGTCTTCTTCCCCTCTGTCCGCCGGCCTCTGCTGTGTGGGGTTGAGTTCAGTTTTCTGGTAAGGGGATAGCCATGGATTCCTCTTTTAGCTTTGATTTGGCTTGGGTTACTCTAATTTCGGTTTTTGGTTCTTGAATTTTGGTAGTTTCGTGAAATCCCCTCCAAAATCCCGTCAGCTTCCATGTTCGCCGGACCTGGCTTTTTCTTGCCGAAAAATTCTGGTAAGTTGCCGG